AAAAAAACCCCCCCCCCCCCCCCCCCGCACCACGCACTGAGCGACCGCAGGGGAACCCTCACCTCAGCGCCTTCATCGTCGTCGTCGAGGTCTTCGTCATCCACCCTGCTGATGGGGGCCTGCTTCATAACGAATGCCTCCGGGGGCTTGTAGTAGATCGACGACAGGGTGGAAATCTGGGGCGAGGGTTTGCGCGGGTGTCAAGGGCAGTGGGCAAAAGGAGATGAGATCTTCTCGATAGGACATCAACATGAACAAGGAACCACGGGGGTCACGCAAGTTCGGTAAGCTGGGGAGTTGGATAAAGCGGGCGATGATGGCGATGAAAGGAAGACAAAGGTTTCGGGTAGAGCAGTGGAAACAAGTCAAAACAGCAGCAGCAGCAGCAGCAGCAGCAGCAGCAGTAACAACACCAACATACCAACACCGACTAACATCAACAACCGCCAAACATGACCACCTCAACGGGTTACCCGTCCGCCCACCTGGCCGATGAGCATGTCGAGGACGGCGGGCTCGAGCGTGAAGGTGTCGTCGGCGATGTTGGGCTTCTCGGAGAGCACGACGGCCTTGGCAGCCTCGGGGTTGGTCGACAGCAGCCGCCAGTAGACGAAGCCGCGGTCTCTCAGGTCAGGGTCATCGCTCTCCTCCGTCGCCAGCTGAAGGACTCTCTGGACCATGTCCTATTGTTGCAAAAACACGCCAAAGGGCGTTGGGGGTGAGGGCGTTCCGAGTAAGGACAAACATCGTTTGGCGTAGGATGAATGAAAGGAAGCGCCTGAGGGTTTGGGCTCCAGTATGGCTAGCTTAACCATGTACCATCTTTGTGGAACCAGCGATACAGAGCAACAAGCAAGACGCCGACAAAAAGAGTACTCGCAACTGACATGATGTGAACAACACTCCCGTCAACAGCCGGAACACACACAGACACACACACCCGAGCGTCCTCTGGTTGTCTGAAGGACTAATTGAGCGTGGTCACTGCCATGTTCACCTCCCAAGCTCGTCCCACCCCGTGCCGACCCACCCTTGCCCAACCCATCCCGCACGACAGCAACCTTGGACCGTAAGTCTCCTCGCACACAATTAGATACGTACGATGTGCCTATAATACCGTATTGTTGTGGTTGTCCCGAAACGACTGATGGCTTTCAACCATTCAGCCCATTTGCGGCACGATACCAAACCACAGCAGTCAAACACGTTCACATCTACACACACGCCTGACGTTTTCATTTGTCAGCTGATGGACGTCGAATCACGGAAGAATTAAAACACAAACCCACACATCCATTCAATCGGGAGGCCCAATGCTAACAACCGAGACACACATTTCGTCGGGAGGCCGTATGTAAAGAGCGACACACACACAAACACACACACACATTTCATAGGCCAGCCGGCCAGAAGACGGCCGACGCCAAATAACCCCATTACACTCAGGTAGTCTTAAACATGTGTACACACACACCACGCACCTGCGTATCCTCTGGCTGCTTGAGGAACAGCTTGACGGTGGCCGTGAGGAGCTGCAGCTGCACCTCGGCCGACTCCTCCTCGAACGTCTCCAGGAAGTGCTCCAGCTGCTCGTCGGCGTTGTCGATGCGCTCCGCGTACTCCCCGATGATCCAGATGATGCTAGCCTGTCACGTGTGTGTGTGTGTGTGTGCGTGAGCGTGTGTGTTTGTGTTGAAAGGGCGTGCGAAGACGTGAATCTTGAATCTTACAGGCTGACCACCATGGTTGGGGCGTTTTCGTCCGGTGACCAAGCAATGGCAAAAAACGCAAATCGTTGGGGGGCGGGGCACACAAACGAGTTCGCGTCGTAAGCAGGTAGGGAGCAGCACAAAAATAGGGCACTCTTGAAGCAAGTCTGCTCACGTCGGCCGCAAAAATTAATTGTTGAACGCCTCCACAAAAAAGTTCAGTCAAACTTTGGAGTGCCCAACGATACGTTTGCTTCAGACACACCATCGCCTTCTAGATAACAACGCCTTGGGGGTAAGGTCAATGTCAACCCCGAACAAAGGAAACGCGGGGGGGGGCATATCGTTTACCTTTGCCTCGGGCTCATCCAGGGTGTCAAGGTTCTCGCAGAGGGCGGAAATGATGCTCTCGTACCTGTTGGGATACTTACGAAAGATGTCCTGCTCGGGCAACAATGGGAACAGCAAGCAAGCAAGTGGAGGGGGGGGGGCTTCAGTCCACAAATCCGCTAGATGCTACATACGAGACCAAAACGTGGACCCTGTCTCCTGGCGAACAAGGAGAAAAAAAAAACAATAGAAGGGGTGGAGCATGTGTCACGCGCTGGTCGGACAGCAACGCTACCAACAAGAAGCAGACAAAGGACAGCTTATACCTTGCTGCTACAACGATGGGACACAAAAAGGACAACGGTAGGGCGATTTATTGTAAATTAAAGGTATATCGGCCACCTTGATGCCACAGCAACACCATACAAACAAGAACAAAAGCATACAGGCCTCACCTTGATGCCCCCACGACAGACAAGCAACGACACAGGAGGCACATGGGTCAGGTCAGGCCTCACCTTGATGACGATGACGGCCTCCTGCAGGACGTAGTTGACCTTGGTCTGGATCAGCTCGAGCAGCACATTTATGCACCGCTCCGCCGCGCGCTCGAGCTTGATGGCGCACCGCCCGATCGCCCTCACGGCCTTTCGCACGAACTCCACGTCCACCTCCTGGGCGTACTCCTTAAGCTCCAGCAGCACCTGCTCTCGCCGAAATGCAGACCGGGGGGGGGGCGTGCGTGTTATTTTGGGTGGTCTTGTTTTGGAGGGTCGGCGTTCGATCCACGGGACAAAGAAAGCCTCGTGAGTCACACGCGAAACACTTGCGTGTGTTGTTGAGATGGAGGAGGTCATTTCTGCCGTGAATGGTCGAATGGGCGTCAAGGCAATCNCCTGCTCTCGCCGAAATGCATACCGGGGGGGGGGCGTGCGTGTTATTTTGGGTGGTCTTGTTTTGGAGGGTCGGCGTTCGATCCACGGGACAAAGAAAGCCTCGTGAGTCACACGCGAAACACTTGCGTGTGTTGTTGAGATGGAGGAGGTCATTTCTGCCGTGAATGGTCGAATGGGCGTCAAGGCAATCAGAAATTGGAAATAAGAGGGAACAAACGTCTCTCGTACAACAACCCCACGCGAACCAAAAAGGAATGCTTCGACAACGAAAGGTAACAAAAAAAAAACATACTCCGTGTACAACTTCGAAGTATAAGGCAACCGCCACCATCGCGTGTGAGAGTCAACACGCCCGAAATCGGAGAGACACATGCTTTGGAGGCATAGCAAAAAAAGAAGAGTCGCAATGCGTGGCAATTTTTGCCAGAGGAACAAAGGCGTCATTCAACGGCACTCTCCACGCTGCTGCATTATATCAGGCCACATCGCACCTGGTCGATGTTGCGGTCGTTAACGAGACGAATGATTGTCTCGAGCTTCTCCATCTTCACGTAGATCGGGTCGTTGTACTTGCAGAAGAACACCTTTTTATCCCGGAGGCGACGGATTTTTGTTGTTGTCCGGAGGCAGGACAAACGCCAAGGACAAGGGAACAACAGTAACCACCGTGGCAGCAGCAGCAGCAGCAGCAGCAGCAGAAGCAGAAGCAGGAAAGACAAACAAAAAGAGAGACGACGATGGTTATAGCACAGGTGGTGAGCGCAAACAACAGCGACAGCAAACAAGACATACAGCTGTCCACATCGAAACAACCCACGCTTAAAATGAAATTCAACAAAAAAAGTGACAGGGGGAGGGAATACAATAGGCCCCCCTCCTTCTTTCCCCCCCCCCCCGTCAGTCTCGATCGGCCCTGCTCCCATGCCCCCTCTTACCCCCCACCCCCTGCCAACCAAGGGCCGATTGGGCCATCGGTGATCGGTCCTGTGGGAGCAATGCTCCGTCCTGTCGGGGACGTGGTCAATAGCCCAAATGCTAAGGCATTCAAAACATGATAGTACACCCCCCCTATCGCCACCAACCCTCTTCAGCCCCGATCCGCACAAACCTTTATCTCGGACTCGAGGATGCCGGGCCGCTTCTGTACGATAAGGTTAATGTTGCGGAGGGCCACGTACTGCGTCTCGGGCTCCGAGTTGAGCAGCGTTACGAGAGGCGGCGCCAGCTTGCGGCTGAACGACCGGCTCGTGTCCACGCTGTTGACGCTATCCAAGTACGTCAGCACAACCTGGAATGAGGCGGGACAAGTTCGTAAGGAGGGGGGGCGCTATCGTGAAGGTGTGTCGAGCGTGACAGGGCGGCGAAACAGGTGGTGATCCAAGGATCGGGATAAGCAGCAGCAGCAGAGAGGGGGGGGAGGGGCGAGAGAAAGGGGAGCACGCAGACAAACAACACGCAGAGAGTGCACGTGCCGCGGAGGAACAGACCTAAACTAGTAGAGGGGGATTGGGGGTAACCGCCAAGGTGCTACCGGCAAGTGGAAACCAAACAAATTCACACGTGCAAAGCCACACGCCGGCCCACCGTACTCGGCGAGCAAGCGCACATGTCGCACACCAAACGGAAGGAAGGACACATCGACTGACCCACACCGACCCATAGTACTCGGAGAGCAAGCGCACATGTTGCACACCAAACGAAAGGGAGGACACATCGACTGACCCACAGCAACAACAACAACAACAATCACAAACACGTGTATTGCGTCTGTGCACCAAACCGTGGGAAAAGAAGGAGGGGTCACGCGCACGAACGACAAAGGAACCAGGAAAGAAAAAAGCGATGCAGGGCGCACCGGCAGCACGGGCACAACCTTCTTCTACTACCACCATCGATGAGCAGACGTCAAACGCCAACCAAGGAATTCGACCAATACATTTCACGCCCCGACCCAAAACCAATACTAGTACTCAGCAACAAAAAAAAACGCACCTTGACGGCCGACATGACCACAGCCGAGTTGGCGTGCTGCAGGCGCGGCGTGACCCTCTCGATGATGCCCTCCGCCTCCCGCCCGTCCGCGGGTGTGTACTTCGCCAGGGAGTCCAAGATGAACACCTGGCACATACAAGACAAGAGAATCCAAATCCGTCCCATTCGCCACCAGCGGGACGGCGGCGGAAGTGCCAAGACGGGCAAGAATCAACCAACATTAACGCCATGTGTGAGACTCTCTGCAACGGACAGAATCAACCAACATTAACGCCATGTGTTAGACTCTCTGCAACGGACAGAATCAACCGACATTAACGCCATGTGTTAGACTCTCTCCAACGGACAGAATCATCCCCGTGGTGGCGAAAGGGGTGCGGCAGAGGCAAGGGAGGACAGCGGCAACCACAATACCGTTCTGTTTGCGCATGTAGGTGCGTGTACCACTGCAGTATTCGGGCTTGTATCCGATCGGTCGGTACGACCGCGCCAATGACAACATCCGGAGTCTATCCAGCGGCAAGTGCAGAGCAAGCTTCGCCGATGACTAGCCCGAGGAAAGGAGACTCGAGCGCGATTATGAGGGGCTTGGACCCTGAGGGTTCAGAGACAAAAAAAACAACGCCCCAGGGAAAAGGCATGAAGGATCGAGCTCGATGGCTCAGCCCTTCCTCGCGCCGGCCCATGCACCAACCGCCCCCCGCGAAATCAACATGCCACCCCAGGCTACCGCTCGTGGTCGTGCGCCCCGTCGAGCAGGGGCACACTACTTTGTCGTGCTGTCATGCAAGAACAGATTTGTTCGCCAGCCGAGAAGTCGCCGCTTTTTCACCTGGCCCCACTCCGTGCACTCGTTGAGCGCAGCCAAGAGCTTCTGCAGCACCGAAGTGTCGATCTCCATCACGTCTCGCCCCGACGTGTCCCCGATCTCCGACAGAGCTGCCACCGCGTTGGCCACCACCTTCTCCGACCCGCCAGCAATAGACCAATACAGGCAGACGGGAAGGGGGAGATCAGGGGGGGAACAGGCATCGTAGGGGGGTGATGAGGAGAGCGACAGACACAGGGTAGACAGACAAACAGACGGAGATAGAGAGGCAGAGAGACAGACAGATAGAGAGGCAGACCAGACAACGTACATGTGACGTGACGAATTGACCACAGAACAAAACGAGCGATGAGAAAGAACATCGGTGTCCAAGCGCGGACAGGATAACACCACGCTATCCGAGAAGGGGTGATATCACACCACTTGAGATTACACCCGATGGCCACAAAAAACAGCACCCAGAAAACACATTGGACAACATGCATCTGATACCCTACAGCATGTCTGCGATAATCTCAAATAAATATTGTGCCCCGGGCAAAACTGCTCACCGTTGGGTTTGGGTCGCAGATGAGATCCCTCAGGATCTGCAGGAAACCCTGGTCCTCCACCAGGTCGGCGTTGATGTCGTACAGCTTCGCCACGCACACCGCGGCCGTCTTACGCACGTAGGGGTCCTGCAGCGGCGGCGGCGGCGGCAGCAGCAGCAGCAGCAGCAAAAGCAGCAGCAGGAACAATAGCAGCAGCAGCAGCAAGAAAGACGGGCAACGAGACGGCAGAGAGCCAAGCATAAATAGGTCCGTCCGCACGAAAAAAACATCCAATCACTGCTGTAGAACACATCGTGTTTCGAGCAAGCGCCCCGTGGGAGGTTGTTTGTCAGGAACACGGGAGCCGGCAATGAGATTGTGGAGGCAATTGGTGCCGGGTGACGGAGGAAGGGACAAAAAAATAGTGGAGGAGAAGAACATACGGCCTGCTACATCTGCCCTGCCGTGTGCTCATTGAAGGTCAAGAGAACGCCCAAGTTGCCACTGCAGTTGCTACAGTACGTTCACGTGAGCCCCGTAGACGCCCCCCCCCCTGGTCTCTCCGTACCCCCGCTCCTTCCTCCTCGACGACCGCGCTACTGTAAGCGCAACGCGCCTGTTAGACAGGGCCTTCGGGGTATGGCACAAGCGAGAGGCGAGGACGACCTTTGAACACCAACCAACATGACGGCCAGCGTACCCTCGTCCCTCCCCTCCCATCTCAGAGCCCTCACAACATACTGGTGCGTGCTACCCAGTAGTCTACGCAGCAAAATTGATCAAGCAAACATATGGAATAAAGTATTCGATCCGTGCGTTAGGGTTAGGGTTAGGGATAGATTCTGCGTGCCTCCTCCCTATTCTTTTTCTAGATACTCTTCAAATCCTGCGTAGGAGGTCCACCACCGGGGGCCGCCACCCAAGCCACAGACAATGGGAAGTGTGCTCTCTTGTGTTGTACACCAGACCAAGAAGCGAATGCCTACGCCTATCGACACGAAATGACGCCACGGATGCGATGACGAGTTCTTCGCTTCCTCTATCTAGCCCCAGCACGCCGCCGGGCGAGAAGAAAGAAAGGAACGCACAAAAAAAAATAACAGGGAAAGAGAGAAATTAATAATCAAAACAAAGAAAGAAACAACGAACTTTCGCAAAATAAAGAAGCAACTCACGTCGTCTCGCAGAGCTTTCCTCAGCGGCTCGCACAGGTACTCCGTGATCTTCTCCACCCTGATGCAGCCCATGGTCCGCACGGCCAGCGCGCGAATGAGGGGGTTCGGGTCGTTGGCGTCCTTGACGAACGTGTTCACCGCCAATAGCGTCAGCTCCGGCTGCGTCTTGGCGTAGTTGATCAGGTACAGGTACACCAGCTTCTTCAGCTCGATGTTTTCTGGTTCAGGGTGTGTTGGCGATAGATAGACACCGCATCGGGTTC